ACGAATATCTACCGTCTTGCATTTGAAAATTCAAGGACAGTTCCTTTAAAGAGTACAATTTACAAAAGCATTTATTTTAAAAATCAATCAATGACTAGTTATGAGGCTTGGTTCGTTTCTAAAACTTCAATGGTTTTACTAAATTCAAATTGTTTAATATTATGAACAAGATGTCCAAGATCTCCAATTTTGACTCTGAAAGATTTAAAACAAATTTGTCCAGAATACAGTATTTGTGTGGTAACTTGAATTGAAAGCTATTGCCCATTTTCATTAGATATTATGAATTCCGACAATTGCCCTCATTTGTCTCTATAAGCATATATCTCAAGTCGAGAAACCACAGAAGAATATTATCAATACTAATCTCATTTATTCTTGATTGAATAAAGATTTGAAGAATATTGTTGTGAAACGAACCTGTTACTCTTAAAAATGGCGGGGTACTCAAAATCAGGTCTCCGCGCTAGGGTTTCCATCGAAATTTTTGTTGAACGAAAATGTCGACCTCATTTTTGTTCAATTTTCGTCCGATGAGAATTAGAAATTTTTCCATTTTGCATCAAGAAGATTGTTGCGAAAAAATAAGATTTTGAACGAAACGTTGAAAATTCTAACGAATTTCGTGATTTCCCGAAAATTAAGAACGAACAAATTTCTCGAATTCCACGAAAATTTTGAACGAATTTCGCGAATTTTGCAAACATTTTAAATAATTTTGCAAATTTTGCTAAAAAATTGTCGAGGAATTTTTTTGCGAAAATTAAAAAAAAAAATCTGTTTTCGTTTGCTGAACGAAATTTTCGCGAAAGAGATTGAATGAAAATTTGGAAACCCTACTCTGGGTCCTTTCAAATGTAAAAAAAAACACGTACAGTGAATCAGACAAAAGGAGCCTTTTTTGTAAGAGTTTTTACAAGTTCATTACTTTGTTTTAATAATTACTTGGATTTTTTAACGAATTCGGAATTGTTAATGAAGAAAGAAAATTGAACATTTATTTTATTTGATGAAAATTAAAATGTAAAAAATGTACTTTAAACCAAGCTAATTATTTTCAATTTTTGTAAATTAGATTCTTTTTAAAAATCTTTATCTTTAATGTTAATAAATTTAACATATTTTTATTACTTTTGTATATTTCTCTTAATTTCATTTTTAAAACTTATTTTACGGATGAAATACATTATTGTTAATGAAATAATAATTAAAACTACTCTAATTTCAATGATAAGTTTTTCAAAAGGTTAAAGAAACGAAAACCTTTGAATTGATTTTTCAATTAAAAAAAACGTTATTCAGCATGGATCTTTTGAAACTCTTCGACTTTTATATTCTATCTATTAAATAGTGCTGTTAACCTCTTTTAAAAAATAAAATATATCTAGAGTTTAGCGACAAAGTACAATAAAATAGTTTTCTTTCCTAAAATATAAAAGCCCAATAGCCTGATTGGTACTTTTGGCGACCTAAATCGTGTTTTTAAACTCTCCTTCAAATAAAGAAGTATCCAGAATTAAATTTAAAAAAAGAAATAGAAAATAGCCTCTTCCACTCTCAGCTTCTTTCCTTCCTGAGGTATATTATATATGAATTTAGTTTTCTGCTAAAATTTATAGGATTTGTTTATTCAGCACAATCCTTATCTTTAAGTACTTTGTAAAAAGAGAAGAATAGTTGCTAGGCTCTGTTCATCAAACTAAACATATTCAACAAAGGAGAAGGTGGAAGAAGTTTTTATCAACATTGAAAACCCATCAAAGACTAATAATAAAACCACCCTTCATGAATCACTGGAGACCACTATTCATGAACTACATACAGCATTGGAAACCCAGTTAACCCTAAACAGGCTGGAGGGGGCGTTGGACGCCCCCCTCCTCTAGTTTGTTTTTCCTCTAGCATTCTCATTTTTGACACTTTCACCGTGAAGTTTTTGGACGTTTAGTGAATAGAAATTTAAAGGATTTTTTGTAAACAAATTTTTTTAATGCATAGGGTAGATACAGGGGGGGTAAAAACTTCGGTCCATGTAAAAAAAACCTAAAATAGCCCATAACTTTTTGGTACTAAAACTACAGATCTGAAAACTACATTTGAAAAGCCCCTGAAAAAAACTTTTTTGCATTTTTTTTAACCCTTCCTAGCACTCAAACTGTTAAAAGGTTAAATTTAGTTCAATGAGCCGGCCTTGAAGACCATTATTCATAAACCATTGGAGACCACTTTTCATTAGCCATGGGAGACCACTATTCATTAAACATTGGAGAACACTAATCATAAACCATTGGAGACCACTATTCATAAACCACTGGAGACCACTATTCATAAACCACTGGAGACCACTATTCATAAACCACTGAAGACCACTATTCATAAACCACTGGAGACCACTATTTATAATCCACTGGAGACCACTATTCATAAACCACTGGAGACCACCATATAATTATCAACCAAATTAGAATATTCAGAAGACTTATCATACTCCTCAGGAGACCACTTTGCATAAAACTTCGGAGGTCACCCTGTTTGGGAGACCGCCCTGCATACATAGCTTGTAAGACTTGTATCTTGATAATATCACAAAATTATAAATCAAAAAATTTTACAAAAATATTATGGAGACATTCAATTGTTTAAAGGATACGCTACATCTTATTTTTAATAAATAATTATTTAAATGATGAATATCAGGGTTTTCAATGAATCAAAAAGATTTCACCATATTGGTTATAAATATCGGTATAAATCGTGGGTCTCCGATGGGACTCTGAAGATGAAAATTTCTTTTCAAAATGCAACAAAAGATTTTACAATTCTTCAAGGTTTCAAATACAATATTTACAAAAATTTATCTTAAAACTCTGAAAGTAAAAAGGATTTAAAAATCTGGCAATATTAAATTAAAACCAAATTAAACAATTATTTCAAAAATAAATGGCAAAATCTGGAAACTTTCATAAATTTTTTTTCTAAATTGTAATACAGTGTTTGTCGGAATAATATAGATTGATTGATACTTCATTGTCGTCTTTGACCTTATAAATAGTTAGCGGTATTCAATATTGGTAACATGCTTTAGCAATATATTTTTATAAAATAATTATTACTGAAAATCCCTAGCCCTCCCATTCCAAAATGTGGTCTGCCGTTAATTAGTGCTTTTACAATTACCGGAGATATGAATCATTTAGATATTTTCATGGTTTTATTTAATAAATTGAAATTTGACCCTATCTTGATTGGGCTATTATTGTGTAATATAGACTGGGGGGGGGGAGGGTTTCCACGCCCCCCAAATTATTTTGCCCTTAGAGTTGAGATAGGGGAGTGTAATACATGTCCATATGTAATAAATTATTCTTGTTAACATCGATAACTGACGAGACGTGCCCATGTTTGGCAATGATAGTTCACAAGCTTGTGACCATGATGACATTGATAGCTAATGAGATCGTGCCCATGTTTGGCATTGATAGTTTACAAGCTTGTGTCTGGTTGACAATGATAGCTTACGAGATTGTGCCCATTGGTTTGGCCTTGATAATTACAAGCTATTGTGCTGAAATTGATAGCTGACGAGATCGTGCCCGTGTTTGAAAATGATAGTTTATAAAATTGTGTCCGTGTTGACATCGATAGCGGACGAGATCGTGCCCGTGTTTGAAAATGATAGTTTACAAAATTGTGTCCGTGTTGACATCGATAGCTGACGAGGTTGTGCCCATGTTTGAAAATGATAGTTTACAAAATTGTGTCCGTGTTGACATTGATAGCTGACGAGATCGTGCCCGTGTTTGAAAATGATAGTTACAAGCTTGTGTCTGTGTTGACATTGGTAACTGACGAGATCGTGCCCGTGTTTGGCAATAATGATTCACAAGCTTGTGTCCGTGTTGACATTGATAGCTGACGAGATTGTGCCCGTGTTTGGAATTGATAGTTTACAAGCTTGTGTCCGTGTTGACATTGATGGCTAATGAGAGCGTGCCTGTGTTTGGCGTTGATAGTTAAGAGTTGAACCTGGATTGATACCGGTCTGAAAGCAGTTTTAGGAGTAAACCGTTTACTAGACATGGTCCAACTTTTTAAGGCCTGCTAATTTAAAAAAATGATACCTCTAACTTTAATGGTGAGGGTTTATAATAAATTCAAAAAGTATGTTGGAAAAATATTTCAAAACTAGCTATTTTTAGTTTTTAAAAATATTAACATATGACACATCACGTGTCACACTTGTTATTATATCATTTTTAAGGCCTTTTCTATAAGTCTTAGTCCTGTAGGTAGCTTGATTAATAAAAAAAGATATTAACCATTTCTTATTTTTTTAAACACCGACCCTCCGTTTGCCCATACTCCCTACCATATGCATCAATAAAAGAAAAATTTTTAGCAAAATTTGTTCACAACTATGATGTTAAAAAGGTGAAGAAGTTTTAACGTTCTAATATCAGCCATTTTCAAGTTATTTAGAAGAAACCAAAATCAATCATGATAGGGTTAAACAAAATTCTTATATCTCTGGTATTTTTGCGAGCAAAAAAATGCAAGACCACATTTTGGAAATGGTTTAGGGCTATTTTTGTCATAATTGTTTCCTAAAAATATTGCTCAAATCAGGTTACCCCACTTTTAAATGCCGCAAACAATTTCCAAGGTCAAAGACGACTTTAAAGTATCAATCAATAAAAATTGTTCGGGGTTATTTAGACTATCACTGTAGTTTTAATAAAACGAGAACTACATTTATTAAATTTGGACAGTTTTGTTGAGTTTTTAAAATGTAAGAGCCTGATCTTGAGCCAAAGTTAAGAAAACGGGGTAAAAAATTAGGGTACTTTAAAAGTGTTCAACTTTATCCGTGATGAATTAAAAAATGATATTTTATACATAATCTAAGCTTAAATTCTAAATCAAAATTTACATCTGCAAATTTAAATCCAATAAAATCCTGAAATAATAAATGTAATGAACACGAATACAGTTGGTCGTCAGAAGATAATAATTGTAAGATAAGAAACAAGTTGAATAGATAATACCTTCAGTACCTTTATACTTCATACTCAGAGCAGTATAATCAGTAAAAGGAAGATATAAGGTGAGAGAATTTAGAATTCAAATTATAAATTACATTTCTGAACTTGGAACTTGAGGTTAAGCTCAACATCCTTGTAAAATTCCTTTTTGATGAATTGCGACTAAACACTAACTTCACTGGCCCTTAGAAGGTAAAAGGATCCATGGTCCTCATTTTCTATAATATAATTTTGACCGATTTTAGAAATAATAATTGTTACAGATTTTTTTTTGTGCAGGGCTTCTAAAGATTGATATTTCAAAATGGCTTGTTTCATAATTTAGAAATGCTATTTAAAACAATCCTGAAAATTATATGTTCAAGGGGGCAGTGCTCCCCTTCCTTTTTAACGTACACTTTACATTGCATACCTATGAAAAACAATAGATTTTGTTGTAAATGAATGACAACTTTTCTACACATGTTTTTGATAGACAACGACAATCTGTATAATAAAGCTAAAGGCTAAAGCTAGCCAAATGGCCGGACCAAATTTGGCTGACATTTTTTGAGACTAAAAATTTGTCTCACTCAAGATTCAATTTTTTTCAGTCGTTTTTAAAGTTACACGGGCAATGCTGGGCACTTTTTCTAGTATGATATAAAAATACAAGAAAATTATTTTTCAAAAATATTTAGAATGAAGTTGATTGTTTTGTTCGCCCTGGTCGGGGCTGTAACCTGCTCCTGCAGCTCAGAGAGTACTGACCCGGTGTCCGCGGGGGATGCCGCAAACTACAGGAATTCACATCTATTCATTAATTGATTGAGTTTGATGAAGGTTTTCTCTGAAACAATGCAAACCACCAATCACGTTCAGTTAACTTAGACTGAAATTATGATTGATAGATAAGATTGGTAGCCTGGCAAAATGTTGGATGTCCTCTGCAGTATAGACAATTTTTTCAAAGATTAAAATAGTACTGAAGCTTACAAAGTAAATAGCCTAAACAGAATTTAATAATAATGCAATTATTTACATATTACACAACTCTATCAGGGGTTTAAACATGGTCGATCCATTAATCTCTGCGTCCCATGAACCGTTATCATGTATCTGTTCCTACCCAGTCCAGCTGACTTGCTGTCCCAAACTGGTTTAACGGACAATTAAACCCTTGCTTGGGTTTGAGTCCTTGTTCTATAATAACTATGTACAGCACTATATATTTCAGTTTTTAACTTCACATTTTTTATTAAAAAAGAATTATACTAAACATAATGTTTCACGCAATCATGACGATCCTCAGAAGTTACAATTCTTTGAACAACTCACTATATATGTATACAGAATCACAGATATGAAACCGTGCTGGTTTACAGTTTAGCCAAAATTTGAATAATTAATGGATTACTAAAAGCAGAATTTTGTTAAAAAGACTAAATAGCTTCATTTGCAAATTGTAAACCATGATTTTAATCTCACCTTAGTGAAGTCATCATGAGATTGTGATGTGGTCATATAGGGCGTCTCTAAAAGTCTGATTGTTTGATTGATTGACAGTTGAGAGACAGCATATTAATCTATGAAATGGGAAAATCGCAAAAACTTTTTTCTCTGAAAATTCCCAGTTTTTCACATTCCTTTCTTAGAAAAAAGCAAAACTTTCAAAAAAAATTTCTTTATTTGTTTTGCGAAAATTTTGCTTTGTTCACTCTGTGTACGTTTGTNATGGGCCTGTACTCTTTGCTATTAGATAAATCTCAAAGATAAAAGACAATCAATAAATCATCTCTCAACTTGTAAGTTCATGTTGGGACACCCTTTATTCAAACTATAAAAATCTAATTGCAGTTTTTTAATAACTAAAAGTAAAATTTAAACCAGGTTAATGAGAACATTTTGAATAGCTTGATAAACAACAACAACAATAGATATTTGAGAAAAAAAATTATCTTCATTGCTTTGATATAAAGTTTTTTCGTTATTTTGCATAAAGTTTACAATTCTTAAACCATCTGAATTGATCTGAAATCAGAGAGTCCTGTGTCAATGCTCTCTCTGGTCAAGTAAGGATGGAGTTTGAAGCTAGTCTTCAATATTTACTCATGGCTGCTCAGTTTTCTCAGGTAGACATTATACCTAAAAGGGAGGGGTCAACAGGATGGTTGGCCCTACCTGCGCCCCCTCCCCCCCTCTGTAGGATCATATTAAGTTTTGGTCCAACTTACCGCCCCCCCCCCCAGGAACAAAATTTCTTTCTATACACCGGTTTTGTATAAATGCGGACTTTAAATCATTCGTTCATGGGAGTTTTAAAACTGCCACAACCGGCCTGTTTATGCTAACGATCTCCGCTTCATGTACGATCGGAATGAAAAAGCGGAGCAATTTCACTCCTCAGTCGTCATTCCTCAAGTCAGAAATAAATTTATTTAAATTTTCAATGTTAGTGCTATGGATATCATTATCAAAAAAAAGGACAAAACCTGCATACTTTGCATGCTGTTATTGATTTATTTTTAGGACAACTACAACCTCCCCGGTGTTGCTGGCATGTTCTGGGAGCATGCTGACGAAGAAAGACAGCATGCCAAGGTTTTTTATCATCCTTATTTTTAAATGATCGCACGAAGCAGAAAATAGGGTTTTTTTCCGTAGTTAAGGCATACTTCATTAACAATAATAAAAGCCTTGGATAAAGTATATTCAATGAAGTAATTGATCAAAGACCACAACAAACTAAGCTAGCGGGATGTCAAATTGGCCAATAGTAGCCCGGGTAATACAAAAAGTCTGGCCATGTCATCAAAGTTGAATCTGAGCCAGCAAAGTATAGGATAGGGCGGTACATGTCGCACGTCACTAAGGCCAGTACAAAAAAGTCGGTCCGGTTCGAATTCAAATTGACCCTAATCCACCTTGCGACGTGATTTCAAGTTGTCCTGTATTTTAAGAGTGCATGGCATGCCTGATTCACAACCTTTATCACAGCAACAATGGGGGGATTACTTTGTTTTTACTGGAAAAGTGTTGAATTCTGTAAATTATATTCTTTGTCTTAATTTTGCTAAGACAGAGCACGACAGTAAACAATGGAATAGAATGACGAAATTATTAAGCGTTTTGATATTGTTACAAAGTAAATATTTTTACTAGTAATTTAATTGATAGGGGTCTATTTACTTACTTAACATTTGCTATGTCATTGAACTAACTTGAGTTTAAAAGTCGTCTTTTATTTCAGAGTTTTCTGGGTTATCGCTGTAGTAAATCACTTACTTAAATTATGTCTCTACAGTCCCTTTAACTCTATTCCTGCTGGAGGGTCGGTCAATTTAACCCCCCCCCCCCCTCCTGTAGTTTTTTTTACATAACTCAAAAAGTATTGGTCTGAGGTTGTCATATTTGGACATAAAACATGGGATTTAGAGGAGGGGTTGAACCCCCCCCCCCCACCCCCCAGCGAAACCTGGTTTTCAAGTACCCCAGCAGGGATTGGGAAGATTAACCTTTAGGGCATGCACCAAATACTTCTTAAAAGACCTTAATAGTTAATAAACTTGTTATATAGATGCTTCTTGATTTGAAACTTGAAAGATGAGAGAAATTGTGCTGACGCTTGCGTTCAAGAAAGATCTCTTCACTGTAAATTTCAAGATTGTATATAATGTTTAAAATCATTATTAATGCAGTGATTTGGTCACTTTTATGAAAATAATTTTAGCATAATTTTAATCCAAGCAACTTGACATATTCCGATTTTTATCATTTTAATCAAAAATTCTGAATGTAACATTACATTCACATGGCCAGTAAATGTTCATCTGATTAAATAAATAAAATGTGTAATAATTAGGAATGAAATGGCGCCACATAATTCCACTTTTTGACCCTCCTCATAATGCCACTTTTGGACCCTCCTCATAATGCCACTTTTGGACCCTCCTCATAATGCCACTTTTGCGTAATCTGGTGGCCAAAAATGGCAACTCATTATTGATTAATTTTTAATTAATTCATGTGCGAATCAAAGGAAATGAGTTTTTGCCACCAATTCTGATTTTCTAATCCATATATCTTTGCAACCTGATGGTGTAAACCTTCAATATTTCAAACTGTCATTATGTGATCTAAAAGAATTCATAGTTTGAAATATCATAGGTCTCCGACATTGAATTGCAAAGATATTGGGATTAGAAAATCCGGGTTTGTGGCAAAAACTCAGTTCCTGTTCCTGTTCCAGTTCCTGTTTAATATTTAATATTTTAATATTTTACAAGTTCAAGAAATCATGAGAACGTAATTTTTTTGAACTGTGCACATAATAATTCAATATGAATGATAAGTGCCTTAAAAAGTTTTGATCTAAAGGGAATATTTTTAATGTTAGATTCATGTTCAAAATTTACAGTGTATCTTTGCAAACCTTGGCTGTATTTCTCGGCCTCTTCTCAATATATCTTCTGCTCCGATAAGAATTGATAAAGTTCTTCTTTCTTGTTTCCAGATTTACTTTAAACATCAAAAGATATTTAATTTAATAAAGCAAATAAAACATATTGCTATGAATTTTAAACTGTAAATTCTCGCTTTTTCTTAGATAAGGGGTAAAAGATAGTTGTGACGGAAAATGTATTCCCAATTTTGTAAAAAGAAAATTAAAGATGGTGTAAATCATATTTTTCATATTTTGATATTGAGATTAGTGATGATTAAACAAATCAAATTAAACTGAAGTAAATTGCACTTTACACTGAAATCCTATATCACTTCTGTATGAGTAGTTCAGGGTTCAGTTATGTGTTTGTTGTCTATTCTGAACCAATAGAAATAGTATGGCGGTAACATCTATCTTTCTATCTATCTCATTATCCATCCAGAGTTATGAATTCTTTAATCGGCGCTATCATTTCTAAGTAAGAAGTATTTACTTCTACTGAAACTAAAGTGATATGTATACATTCATAACTCCTGTTATTGAATAGATATTGGGAAGAAACAAAATGGTTTGATATTTTAAAATATTGCTGGATAAATTTCTATTCTCAATTTTCTATTGTAAGTAAAATCATAGCTAGAGAACCTACGAGGTCGCAAAGTCGTGCCAGAAATGTCGCTCTAAGAAATTGAGTCTTTGCCATAAACTCTGATTTTCTATAACACCTATATCTGAGCAACCTAATAATGCAGACCTTAGATATTTCAAACTGTGAATCCTGTTATATCAAATAACCTAAGTATTAAATGTCAAAGGCTTAAACCATCAGGTTGCAAAGCTAAAGGCATTAGAATACTTGGTTGAGACTCAGTTTATTAACCTTCTCATTCTGCAAGTTTAGTTAGCAATGAAACTTAATTATTTTCAGGAGTTTATCAGTTATCTTCGAATGAGAGGACATCATGATAATGATTTCTTCGGGGATGCTCCCATAAAACCTATCCTAGGCAAGAATACTTGGGAAAATGTCTCTGAGGTAAGTGTACACCAAGGTTGTCTATTAAGGTTAATTACTCTGGTTGCGCTCCAATGTACGAAAAATGTCGTCTTTATAGCAATGGACACTGGAAATCCCTATATATCATTTTAGGCTCAAAGCGGGGTTCTTATACCTAACGCCTGAATGCCTTATTTTACATTTAACAGACTAAATCTATATTTAGACCAACTTCCGAACATTGGATTTCAACTTTTTATAGCTAATTGGAACGCCATGGACAAAAAAAGCAGATTTCACAATTTAGCGAAGAAATTTTGCATAGATTTTCGCACGGATAGCTTTAACAAGATTAAAAGCTAGGACTTTTTAAAATTGTATAAATTATCTTAATTCGCGCACTTTTTGTTTTGCACATTTTTTGCTTAATAACTTGATATTGCAATAATGAAAAGGCAAATTTTCAAAATTTTTACACAAAGTGTATTAAATGGGATTTGTTGCAAAGACTCAATTCCTTTAATGATAAGATAACAATGTATTAAGCAAGATTTAGAATCTATTTTAACAGGTTATCTGTAGCAATGGACTTTAACCCCATTGTCAGTGTAAGTAAGTTAGATTTTACTGAATTTGATTTTTTTTGCTTAAACGATGATTAGATTGTATTCTAGGCTCTACGAGATGCTCTAGCTATGGAGAAGGCCGTGAGTGGGAGTATGAAGAGAATGATTGATATATGTATGCAGGTCAAGTGAAATTAGATAATACTTACTTTTTTCCAAGAAAATATTCTTATTAGTAAAATGCAGGGTTTAAAATACGTTCTATTATAACAAAACATTTTCACTAAGCTTCTAATTTTATCTTTAATTAATGTTTCAAATATCGTAGCAAATATATTTGATTTTATCTCAAATATGTTATTGATACGTTTAATCGTAGAGAGTTTTAGATTAAAATCATCACAATGTTTTTATTAGTATTTGTTTCAATATGCTAATTAATTAATTAATGTCAAAAATAATATTAATAAAGGTACTCTCTGCCTAATGAGGAAGTAATCTTCTTTTTACATTCTTAAAAATGAAGAAAAAAATCCCTGACTTTCCTTCTTGTCATTTTAATAAAGCGCAGCAAGTGAAAATATTAAATTTTCACAGAGAAAAAAAGGTTTTATAACCTCTACTTTTTTCCTCAGGCCTGACCCATGCATGAACTTATTCAATTTTAGACGCTCACTTGAAATTGTTTGAACAGCCCATTTAAAAAATAGTTAAAGAAATTGAGTCTTTGCCAAAGCCTCTTATTTTCTAATCCATATATCTTTGCAACCCAATGTCAAATTTAAACTAAGAATTATGTTAGACCAAATAATGTATATTTAAATTACTAAAGGCTTACAGCATTAGGTTGAAAAGATACAGGGATTAAAAAATTTGTGTATATGACCAAAACTCAGTTCCTTGGAATTTTTTTTGTTTTCAAAATTGACTGTTAACCTTTATTGCAGGAAGGTGAAGATGACCCACATGCAGTAGACTGGTTGACCGGAACCTGGTTAGAGGAACAGCTCAGCGGTCAGAGACATCTGGCGGGACTTATTAACACTCTGGACAGATTCAGGTACAGTAATAGTCAGAAAACTGTAAAATAGGATCACGATATTTAAGCAATAGTGAATTTATGATGTTACAAAGTAAATAGCTTTACTAGTAACTTATTAAATGGGTCTGTTTACACTGCACAATTGCTGTGATTCCTGTTCACTGGACTATTTAAAATCATAATTCGAGTCTAAAAGTCGACTTACTATTGACTGTGTAGTAAAAAATATTTTAAAATTCTAATAAATGTTGTGGAAAAAACGGTATATGAAAGGATTGAATGGAATACAATAAAGAATAATGTAAATTTGTTACAGCACATTTCATTTCTTAAGCACGTTATTTTGCAATTTATTATGCACGTTATTATGCACGTTATTTTGCACTGTGAAAATCAGACAATTCAGCATGTTTACGTCAGGTTAAAGCTTCATGTAAAAAGCTGTGTGGATCAAACAATGTTTTCCCCTTACTGTGGGAGACAAATGATATGTAGGACAAATGATATGTAGGACAAATGATATGTAGGACAAATACTATGTAGAACAAATGATATGTAGGACAAATAATATGTAGGACAAATGGTATGTAAGACAAATGATATGTAGGACAAATGATAAGTAGGACAAATGATATGTAGGACAAATGATATGTTGGACAAATGGTATGTAGGACAAATGATATGTAGGACAAATGATATGTAGGACAAATAATATGTAGGACAAATGGCATGTAGGACAAATGACATGAAGGACAAATTATATGTAGGACAAATGATGTTCAGGGCAAATAATGTGTAGAACAAATGATTTGTAGGACAAGTGACGTTTTCCTCTTACTGTAGGACAAATGATACATAGGACTTATAATTTGTAGGACAAATTATATGTAGGACCAATGATATGTGGGACAAATAATATGTAGGACAAATGATGTGTAGAGCAAATGATGTGTAGAACAAATGACGTTTACCTCTTACTGTAGGGCAAATGATGTGTAGAACAAATGATTTGAAGGACAAATGACGTTTTCCTCTTACTGTAGGACAAATAATATGCAGGGTTTATGAAGTAAGAAAAATTATATGTATGAAAAATGACTGTAGAAAAAAATGACATAATTTGATGCACTTTAATACATTAATGCACAAAATTGGCAAACCATGATTAATAAATCTTCTTTTACATCATTGAAGCCAGAAATGTTTCAAGGATAAAATACACTTTGGTTCTTCATTCCAGAATATCATTCTTGCTTTCTTCATTCCAGAATATCATTCTTGGTTTCTTCATTCCAGAATATCATTCTAGGATTAGATTTACCATTCTCGTTTAATTACTTATAGAAATTTTTACTCGTCGTCTTTGAATTCCAAAATAAGATGGGTTTCACTCCAATTGTATATTTTGCGTTTTTTTATTTGTGCAGACCCAATATAAAAGTCTAAATAGCTGAATTTCTTTTCCTTTTTTCTTTGTTGCTTTCCCTCCAGTTTTAAATGAAGATTTTAAATCTTTATTTTCTTTCCAAATTGTTAATAATTAATTTTTTAGACTTATTTTCTTCTAAAATTAGAATTAGATTTGATTTATTATTTTATTTTCCTGAGACCAAATCAAAATCTTTATTTCTTTATATCTTCCTGTTGCTAGACATGGGCATCATTTTTGTGAACAAATTGAATTTTTATGAACAAAACAAATTGTTCGTAGACAATACTGGCGTTTAGATAAAAAAGAAACGAACGATGGATCGTTCAGAGAAATGATAAAACGAACGGAAAAAAAACAAGAATGAACAATTTAAAATCGTTTAAACAAACCTCAAAAAATGATTGTTTTTTACTGAATGATAGATATTTTTGGAACAAATTTTTAAACAACTGAAGTTTTTTGAACAAACAATTTTTCCGAGCAAACTTTTACTGAACAATCGCTTATTGAGGAAATGGACGAAAGAGATTACAAATTTACGATGAGTTCGAAAATCAATGTTTTTTAACGATGAAAAAAAAACGAATCGATTGTTCACGATTGATGAACAAACGAAATAAAAAGTCAAACGTGCCCAGCACTACCTATTGCTACTAGTTAGAGTCAATTTCTTTTCCAATTTTGCTGACATCATTATTTTTCTCTAATGTTTGAAAATGTTCAATATTTGTGATGATTCAGCTGTTTTAAACCTGGAACATTGTCTAGGAGATTTTCTTGTTTATCGGCCGTCATTGATTAGATTTTTCTTTATTTAACGGTACCGATTATTTATTTATTTATCGGTCGATACCGACAACTTCTTTATTTATTTATCAGCTGGTACTGATTAGATTTGTTTTTTATAACATTGATTAATAGATTGATCTTATATAAGATGGGCAGAGCGCACTTCAAATTTGAAATATCACACATTAATCTTTGCAAGAAAGAAATAATTCGTTTGGTGTACTGACCCGTTTTTTCGTCTATAAACTGTAATGAACACTATACAACTTGCACGGTCCTGTACATGAAGTTGCATCCTCAGAAATATTCGCATTTTGCGAAAATGTTTTCGCGCATTTCGTATTTTCGCGAAATTTAGCTTCGTTTTCGCTTCAATTATTTTCGCGGAAAAAATGCGAAATTTTGTGAAAAAGTTTGCGAAATGCGACCGTAAACTTTCCCATTTTTTCGCGAAACGTTTCGTTCGCTGGAAACCCTAAGCCCAATAAACATTCCCAATGAAAAACATACTAAAGATCATGTTTCATGACACAAAACAGCTATTTGTTTCAGTGTTGGCCATGGAGACTTTGCCGAATGGATGTTCAACAAAGAATTGTAAAACCACAACATGATGTAGTTCAAGAACTAAGTAGAAAAATAAGGATGCGATAAAAATGTTGAATTCGATTTAAAAATAAAAATTATACCTTTCCTCTCAAATTGTTGTATAGTAAATTATTTAAGACTATAGGAATTTATTCTACAGGTGTAATTAACTAAGGGGAAAAAGATTTGTGACGTATTGCCTATATATGCCCTGATAGGGTTTTCCGCAAAATGGGGAAATCGTTACGCAAGTATTGGGAATTTATTTTTTTCTACAGAAAATTTCTCATTTTTCACATTCCGTTTCTAGAAAAAAAACGATTTTTTGCGAATTAGTCGCTTATTTAGTTTTTTCCCCCACAAAATTTCCGCATAGTTTTTGCTTCCTTTCGCAAAATTCATTTTCGCGAAGAAAAGTTCAAAATAAGAAAGAAACTCTTTAAAAAATTTCGCATAATATTTGTGATTTTTTCACGCTGGAAACGCTTATAGGCCCGACCCTTTTTGAAATGAAATGACGTTTTTCAAAAAAAAATAATTAATGAATAAGTATGTTCCATATACAAAAGTAACCTTTAAACCGCGAACTGGGGTACGTAAAATGAGGAAGATATAAACGTTTTTCTACCTTAAACCTGGAGTTTAATTCTTAGAATTTCCTTTTTTGTATTTATATTGCATACAGGCCGTGTCCCAAAAAACATGGGAATTCAGTGCCGAATTGGATATCGTCTTTGTTATGAATTAGCATTGTAATACCTAATTTAAAAAGCCATAATATTTTATGAAAAGGGTAAAACTGTAAAGATGTGCCTATTCCTAATGTCTCCGCAAGTTGAATACGGTCAAGTGTATTCTGTTTGTATAATGTAATTTTCTTGTTTTACTAAGTACACCCGAATGCAGTCAAAACATAAACAAACAAAATGTGAACATAGCAGACGAAACTCTTACAGATTAAAGCTTTCTCGGTAGGTATGACTATACTAAATCAAGGATTATTTAAAAAGACGATATCGTATTCGTCACTGAATTCCCATGTTTATTGGGACACCCTGTATTTGCAAATCCGCAATTCACTTTTGTAGAGAAACCTAGAAAAATATAATTTAATAAATAATCTATCATAAAATGTTTTAAACCTTAACTTTATGATGAGCATATTCATTTCAAAGGAAACCTGATTTAGTATAATTTGACAGGTGGATTCATTAGATGGGATATAATTGTATGCTAGTAATCAAATCATCTAATTATCTAATTACTCTAATTACCCCGGGGAGGGGGGGGGGGTCCTTGATATTATAATTTGACATCATTGAAGCAGGAAACAATTTGAATACAAACAACCTTTAATCCTTGTGGGATAATAAGTGTGTCCCAACTAAGTATTAAAAACATTTTACAATTTGATAAGAAAGCTGTTTTTTGAAGGTGGGGGGGGGGGGGCTAAAATATGTAAAACCAAACACTCACAATATAAGATTTTATTTTACTAGGCGCTTTTAACGCGCTTTGCGCCCATCTTATATTTCAAATGTGAACATGTTCTCTTTGTATGTAAAACAAAAAGAAAGAAAACATTTCGCGGATTTTATAAAAAAAAATTTCGTGGGGACAATTCCAATTTTTCAGATTCTTATTGTATGGTGCATGTGGGGTTAGGGTTGTTAAACGTTATTAAAAACGATTGAAAAAATATAGTTTTTTATTTCGTTTTTGAACCATTCGAATTTTCCACTTTAAAAACGAAAAACAATCGTTTTTCTTTAAAAACGAGAACCGATCGTCGTTTTTAAAACAAAACGATCGTTTTTCAATTAAGTAGAAACGATCCATCCTATAAGTGTGGTGCAATATAATGCGTCATATAACTTTTTTTGAATCTCCCCCTCCCCCCCTCCACTACTTCCATTAATCCATTGCGTGCTATGAACAATAAACACATCATTTAGATATTTATCGAATTAGCGTAGAAGTGTTTTATAATTTATAATGCAAAGTCATCCAATAATGAATAAACAGATTTATACACTTTAAAGGGAATGTACGCGTATTTTCAAGTAACCCTTCTTAAATGACTAATCAAGAATTAAATAATTTATTCTACAAAAATTGATAATTTCCCACTGTGGTTTCACTTTAAAGAAACAATTAATTTTCCAGGTAGATAAAACAAAGATTTTTTCTATATTTCTAATGATCAGATAGAGGATTAAAAAATACAGTTTCAGTTGAAATACAAGGACAGTCTTTTAAATCGACTTATTGGTTTATAATCGTTTCTAAACATTACACTTCTTTTTTTTAAATCAAATCAAATCAAATCAAATCAAAAGCAATTCATTTTAATATAAAAGAAATAATTAATTCGAAAATCGGTATTGACATTACAATAAAAAAATTAAAATGAAAAATCACGCAACCTCGACAGTTGGTTCAATTTATAATTAGAATCAGTTTTTACGATGATGAGAGGAAATTTTTTGTGACATTTAGAAATGAAAATTTATCTTAAACATGGAATCTAATTGAATGATTAACAGAAAAAGCTACTCCTTCAGGTTCAAATCTTGAATCAACAATTCAAAGTTTGTGATTCATGAGGATTTGAATCGGCGTTAGGTTGTTTAGAATTAAATTCAGCCAATGGTTATTCAAATTATTCGGTGAGGCGCAAGTTAAAACTCTTAATAAGAATGTCTATTGTTATAAAAAAAAGGCCTTATAGGGAATAGGTATAGGGTTGAAATGCGTGTTCAAAGCCCAATGTTTCAAGGCCAGCTCAATGAAAAATGATTAGATCGATAACTTATATAACTTGAGTGCTAGGCAGGGTTGAAAAAATGCCAAAAAAATGTAAAAAAATATTTTTTTGGTTTAAAACGAACATCAGAGAGTGACAAATTTATCGCATCCATTTTTAAAGGGCTTTTAAAAATATAGTTTTTAGATCTGTCAAAAAAAAGTTATGGGCTATTTTTGATTTTTACACAGACCGGGCTTTATACCGACCTGTAGCGTACCCTAGGAATAAAAAGAAAATTTACAAAAAACCTTTAAATTTCTATTCATTAAAAGTAAAAAAATTGACGATGATAGTGTCAAAAATGAGAGTGCTATAGGGCAAATTGTTAATAGCGCATACAAAGATTCAGACTGGCACTGCTATGGAAAGTTGTAGATTAGTAAAATGGAAATTGTTCTTTTTTTGTTCTTTTTAATTATCTTTACTAACTCACGTCGCCAGTTTTAGAATTTGAAAAAACTTAGTTTCAGCTTAATCTAGTAGAAGGAATCGGTAAAATTTAAGTAGATTTTTGTTTGAACGTTTTACAACCTTTGGGGCAATGTGCGTACTTTCTGATTTAGATTCTAACAACTGTAAAAATAACCTGAAACTAAAATCCGACGATTCCATTGTAAAATTCAGTCTTTGTCTTGAATATATAGCCTTCTAGGCAGGCTTTTTTGATGATATTACAGAGAAAGTAAACATTTAAAGTAAACCATGAATGTAAAAATCGGTGATGAACCATTAGATTGTAAAAGTAAGAATTAGGCACTCGGTTTTGAAAAATCACGCAACCTCGAATTGGATTGAAAGTTCAATTAGAATCAGTCTTAAGATGATAAGAGTAAATTGTTACATTTCGAAAATTAAAAGTTATCTAAAACATGGAATCTAATTTAATGAATTTGAGCTAGAACGCTTATCTATCTATCACCAGTTCAAATCTTAAATTTAAAGTTAAAGAATTATTAGTGATTCAGGATTTGAACCGGAGCTAGGTAGTTCAACGACCTTTTCAATTAATTAAATTCATTAAAATATTCGGGATTGAAGTTTAAAACTGTTGATTCAAGAATGTCTTGGCATTTCTATTGTTTCAATCAGAGATAAGAGAGTAGTCTGTGGTTTCAATCAGAGATAAGAGAGTAGTCTGTGGTTTCAATCAGAGATAAGAGAGTAGTCTGTGGTTTCAATCAGAGAAAAGAGAGTAGTCTGTGGTTTCAATTGTCATATAGAGCACATAACGATACAGACTGCTATGCAAAGTTTCTGTGAAAACACTTTCAATAGTTAAACGCCTTGATATTTGAATTTATCATACTAACTTACGTGTTAGCCGTAGAGATGTACAATTTAGAACTAAAAAACACCTGTTTTTAAAATTAATTTTTAAGAATTAATCAGTAAAAAACTAAATGAAACTCTAAAATCCTACGATTCCATTTTTAATTCAATCTTTGTCTTGAATACATAGCCTTCTAGACAGGCTTTTTTAATAATATTACAGAGAAAGAAGCACGTTAACATTTGTAGGAACTCATGAATGTAAAAAACAGAGAGTGTAAATTCCGTACAGTCGTATCTGAAGTCGCATCCTTTGTTGCTAACCCTCTTACCCTATACTTATTACAGTTTTTCAAGTTGACTTGTATTTATCAAGATGTCAGCGCTGCTCGACCTTTTAACAAATTAATGGCTAAAAAGTGTGTTTTTATTCGCTATCTTCCACATCATCTTTCCTTCGAACTTCTAACCCTCTCTCTTCTTCTTCCTTTTTCTTCTGTTGTGCAAAACATAAGAATCATTTCCTGTCAGCCCTAGTTCCTCATCCAGTATTTTAACAATTTGGAACATTTTTGGAGCAAACCATATTTGGAGTAACTAACTACATTTCTGGTAATTTATGTAAAATTGATAAATTGAATTTAAAATTTAGATACACTGTTTAGTTTCTACACCTTTTAGTTGAAATTATTAATGACAGTTGCAGAGTATTTAAGAAGTATGATAGTTAAATTCTTTATGTTTTAAGTACTGCATATCCTATAGGTTTTTATACAGTATATCCTACTGGTTTATATACTGTATATTTTATAAGTTTGAATACTGCATATCCTAAAGGTTTAAAAACTGTATACTTTATAGATTTATATATACTACTGTATATCCTAAAGGTTAAAAAACTGTATATCCTACAGGTTTATATACTGTATATTTTATAGGTTTAAATACTGCATATCCTTCAGGCATATCCTGCCTTCATCTTCTTTCCGCTTCCTTTGTATACCTTTCCATCCCCAACTCTCTTACCCTTTCCTTC